CTCTCTTTAAAAATATGAATTCTTTTTCCATAGTCCAATAATAGCTCCATACTACTTTTATTATTTATTGTTACCTTTTTTAAATTTGTATGTACTGTAATACTATGTACTTGTACTTGATATGATATGTTGCCTTCCTAACTTGGCACTACCTTTATGCATTTATTTCCATGTTTTTATTACATAATAAAAACCATTATTACCTCTAATAATATGGAACTGATATTAAATCAATGCATCAAAATCAATCATCACCCTAACTTAAAGTTTTCCTTTTCCTTGGCAAATTCGTCGCTATAAAACCGTTGAGATAAGTTTTTACCGACAAAATTCAAATTTCGTTGACATAAGTGTTCTATAACGATGAAAATTAATCGCCAGTACAGCATACGATTTTTCTTCCTTGAAAAAGATTAAATTAAAACTCTCACTTTTTGCAAAATAAAAGTCGCAAGGCAAAAAGATTTTTGTCAATGAAATTTTAGTTTCTTTGTTAAACATAACTTTTACCAATGAAATTTATTTTCTATCGTCAATAGTGGGATGAAATTCAACTCTAATCAACAAGATTATTGCCGACAAAATGTGGAAATGGTAGGTGAAAACACTTTTTTTTTTTTGGGCAAATTATGATTTCATCACAAGAAATAGCGATGAAATTTAGATTTGTCGGTAGAAATCAAATTCTTAGAGTGCATAAAAATATCCGAGTCTGATTATCCAATTAAAACGTATGGTTTATGAATAAAAATAAATGTAATAAAGTTGAAGGTGTAGTAACTTAATAGTGTAAGATAATAATAATTTAAACACAAATACAATTTGGCATAATATCAGCATCATAAAAGGAAGAAAAATGAAAGCATCGCCAACTTGAAAGCATCCGTATAAAGGTGCTTGGAATTCGAATAATAATTCTTGAAATTGTTTACAAACAGTATTATTCTTGTTGACTTTAATATTGTATATTGTATAAACATTTTTAAAAATTCAGTTTTTCATTTTAAATAAAGTACTGGTTACTTTTGAATCGAGGCAGTAGTTATTATGGCATGTTTAATTATAATTAAATCCTTTACTTATACTTTTCTTTTCAGCATTATATAAATGATAATTGTTCAAAGAAAAAAGTTTACCGATAAAACTATACTGAAATGATTTTTTAAAAAAGTATATAATTAAGTATAGAAAAATAACTTGAATGATCCTGTCTTCTAACCAATGGGTTCAGAAAATAAAATAAAATTCAACTCATCTGCAGATCAGATGAGTTCAAAAAAAAAAAAAATATATATATATATAATATAATCTTGATATTATGTTTGACCTTGTCCCAAAAAATCTTTTCAACATACAACTTTTAATTCCTTTTCGGAAAAAAAAAACAAAACTTTTAATTTGACCAAAATCTAATTCTCAAATTATTTTTTTTTCAATCTATCAAACAAAAATCATTATTATCATTTCTTTTTTTTTTCAAAATGTAATGTATGTTGCATTAATTATTGTGAATGTGACCCATAACTCATAAGATTGTGGTTCTTGGGAGGGGAGGAAGAGATTTTCCTTTAAAATCAACTTCAAAAAAAATATATATATATATATATATATTTTTTTAAATCTCCACTTAAGTTACATCAAGTCCTTTTGTGATGGAAAAGTTAGTGATTTTATTGAAGATGAAGCTTAGTTTTGGACCTATGTGACTATGTCTCATGATTCTTCTTTTATTTTTTTTATTTTTTGTTCTAGGAAGTACAATGTAATATCTTATGAACTGATTGAATTGTTTAATATCTAGATAATAATTCGCTACTTTTTGCTCAAGTGAGATTCTCACTTAATTCCCAACAATAATGTTTTTACATATAGAGTAATTTTTTCTTATTGTTTTGTTTTTATTATTAGTGGTCTTGTTTTAATTGGGCCTGACTCATTTAGATGGGCCGTGAGTGAAATCTGTTTTATGGGCCTAATAAAACTGGCCCATAAATTTATATAGTCAAAGGATTCGTCTTTTTCACTCTTCAGTCGGAATTATTAAATTCAAGATTTTACGCAAAGACTCTTTCCTATATGTTAAGTTCATTACTTGACAACTTAAATTAGTTCTAAAAAGAGGTTAAGTTCAATTATTGACAATTTAAATAGTTCTAAAAAGAGGGTTAAAAGACAACTTGAGTTTTTAATTTCTCAACCCTTCATTCAACTAAAAAAAAACTAAAAGATTTTTAATCTACTAATTAAAGATATAGCAAATGTGAATAGCTAGTTAAGTGTCAACTCTGAGTATCGTTCAACTTGTTAAAGAACTAACTAGTATCTTCTTTGAAAGTTAAAAGTTCGATATCTTTTTCCTTTTCTTTTAAGTAGAAAATATATGGAGATCGAGGGAATTTGAACCTCTAACATCAAAAAAATGAGTTATATGTCTTTATCATTCAACTATGTTCATGTTGGCTAAAAGTTCAAGTACGAAGTATCTACTCACGTTTAGCTGTTGTTCATTGGATTACGGAGGAACAATGGGAAATTACTTCTTACCGAGCCCTAGAAGGAATGGGTTTCAATTATTTAGTTGGGATGATATAAATATATCTAAATATTTTGGAGGATTGAAAGTTTTGATGCATGCACCTATATGCTATTGTGGCGCATGCAATGCAAGTAGGGACCTCCCATTTCCACACCACCAATAGTGACTTCTCACTTTCTCAAACTAATTCTAATTCATAAAAACCACTCGATAGGGATGTTTTTGGATTTGGGTTCGGTATCTTCGATATATTTTCAGACTCAAATTTGCCTAATTCAAATGATTTCTAAATAATGTATTCAATATAATCCTCCAACCATGAACGTAACCTTTTTGGTTTATTATTGATTTGAAAGTTCAAATCAATATGAAAGTTCGTAAACTAAATTCAATCCAATTGATTCATTGAATTGAGTTGATCAAGTCGTAGAATTACCTGTAAGAGTGGAGACGATGGTTCAGAGGCGGACCATAGGCGTGCAGCCAAGGGCGCGGATTTGGTACCTAATTTGGATTCGCAGCTTCCTTGTTCGTTGCAATCCGCGAAGTATTTTCCGTTCACATTCTCAACGTTCCGATTCGTGGCTACGTAACAACTCGTTGCTGCTCCTTGAGGAATCGTCTTCAACAACTTTGTTTTGGACGCCATGTAGAAAATCAAATCTGCATTTTCTTATTAATCAATCAATCGTACGTTTCAGATTGATTAATTTCTTAATCGTACGTTTCACAGGTACTGACCTGTGACGAAGCCTTCACGATCTCTGTTCAATTTGGTTCTCACAACGCCCGGATGAACACAGTTGACCGTAACATTTGCCTCTGTTTCCTGTTTAGATTTTGTCAAATTAAAAACCAACTCGTGAATTCATTAATTGATCTAAAGTAATACCAAATAAGATCCATGGAGGAACCTGGAGTCTGTGAGCAAGTTGGACGGTGTGCAAGACATTGGCGAGCTTCGAGAGCGCGTAAGCACGTGTCGCGTCGTATTCTCTGCTGTGAATGAAGATCTGACCACCATTAATACGTGAGCAAAGGAAATTTTATTGAGTACTGTTACTACCAGGGCCGGAATGACACCTGTTGCTCCTGCTTATCCGGCCGAGATACTCGAATATGTCGCCGGAAAACCAGCTGTGGATATTGGACGTCAAATTCACTATTCGGCCTTGGATTCCTGTCAATTTGGCCGTCTCTATCATCTTATTCAGCAAAAGCTTAGTCAACAGAAAATGACCTGAAAATAAAATTTGTTCTCCGATGTACTGACCTAGATAATTAGTAGTGAACGTCATCTCAATTCCGTCTTCTGAAATCGCATGTTCGTAACAGAATCTGCCTGCGTTGTTTCTGAAAAAGAACTATACATGATTTTAGTTTCTCAATTAACGAATGTCGTTTCTCTGTTCGATTCAACGGATGAATTGGCGAGAGATTTATGATGAATTACATGAGGAGATTAAGAGGCAAGTTTAAAGACTCGAATTTGGAGACGAAGTTCCTGACGGAATTCAGAGAGCTAAGATCGAGTTCCATAACCGTGATTCGTGAATGATCGGAACATTCCGATTCCGATTCCGATTTGATGCGCGCCTTTGCTTCCTCGGCGGCTTTGAGGTTGCGAGCCGGAAGGACGATCCTGGCGCCGCGCTTGGCTAAGACTCTCGCCGTCTCCTCTCCGATTCCCGACGTCGCTCCTGCTCCCAATTTGTTCGCGAGCGCATGATTTTGCATGTGATTGAGTGAGTAATGTTAATGGAACAGAATCAGAATTCAGAAGATCATCACCTGTGATTATGGCGGTGACGGAGCACAGATGAGGACAGGATTGAGTGACCTCTACGGCGGTGGATTTGGAGCCGTAGCCACTTGCTCCGGCTGAACCGACGAGGTACTTCAGGATTTCAAGCATGGAAATGGAAGGTAATTGCTAGTCCGTTAGGCCGACTTTGAGGAGGCTTTCATTTGATTTGGGGAAAATTATGTGGAAATTCAAGAGAGAAATTTCTTTCTTTTTTTTTTCCTTATTTCGAAAATTAAAGAGTGAATTATACATTAATATACCATGCAAAATAATTCGCAGTACTACTATATTATCTATCCTTCTATTCATATACTGACGTATTATTGAGTAATATATTATATTCATTTAATAGGTCGGTCAGACTATTCTAAATATTACTTTTATGGCTAACCATGAAGGAAAATACTATGAAAAATTTTTCATCCTATCATAGTATTGGATTTTTTCTCGAGGTTAAACTCATCTTACAAAATATAAGAAATAATTTTTTATACATTTTTCTCYACTACTCGTCAAAAGTTGAATGATAGTTAGCAAAAGATAGATACTAACTCTGACCGTTAAAAACTCGTGTACTTTCAAATAAAAGTAAACAATCACGATTATTTTCAACATTATTATTTTCAACATTATTCTATATGTGTGCCTTATCTTTAGATTTTCTTCCTTATTGCTCTTTTTCCACATAAAAAATTCTTGCATCTCGAAAATTTGAGGATTTAGGATGAGATTAGTAGCTTAATCAGAAGATTAGAAGATTAGGGTGCATGGCTATAGTACTAAGGTTTAAATACCTTTTTAGTCATAAATTGAATAAAGTAAAATGGTGAATAATTATAATCGAAGGATTTTTATGAACAACTTAGAATGTACGGTCATTTATTTTAGATATATGATTTTAAATGTTGATATGATATTTTGACCAATATTTAATTTTTGACATATTTATTATACATTTCAAATCGAATATTTTTACCAATCACATACTCAAATTTAAGAATTTCCCCTTGCAAAAATGTAAAATATAAATATAATACATTATCCATGTTAAAAGAATATTCAATATATAATTGATATATATATAACATTAATTTTATAACTGAAACCAAATTTGTAATTTGGTACATAGTATCAAAGTATATATATCTACTTCATATATATGATTTATAATTCATATGTTTTATGGAAAAAATCAAAAAATAATTTGTAAACAAATTTGTGTATATGATTTGTAGTCCATAAAATTATTCATATCATTCTAATTGCCTATGTTACCACGGTAGAGATCGAAAAATGAAATCAATAAGATATATATTAGTTTTTTGTTAGTACAACATGTGGGGTGGAGGTTCGAATTCATAACCTTTTGGTTTGAGATATGCGTCGATTACCACTAAGCTATGCTCGTTTTGGCAATATATATAAGTTGTAATATAACATTAAGCAATTTGATATTGGGGATGAAAAAGGAAGTAATGAAGATATATTGCTATGTCGATAGTATATATTTCAATTTAGATATATATGACGATTTCAAGATAATACAACTCATGTTAAAGGAAATGAAATGCAGAATTGATGGGAAAAAAAGTGAAAGAATTAGTAAAAAAAAACGAAAAAAAGGTTTTTTTTTTTTTTTTGAAGGCCGTTACGAAACAATACAAAATGCAGAAATGAAATTGACGCAAAAATAGAAGATGAATTTGAAATTGCAAAACTAAAATAAAATTATCCAATTTGTCTTGACTCTTGATTAAGCATATATATATAGAAATAATTTTTAAAAATCTGATTGTTTCCATTGACTACTTTTAAATGAAATATAAAAAAATCGAAATAATGAATATGGAGAAGAAGAATTTAAGGGAGGATAATTCAACAATGAAAATAAACTTATTAAACCTGAAAATCTCTATCTAAAATTATTTTTAATAATAGATTTTTGTGAAACATATTTTTGGATGAGAGGTTGTCTTATTACTGGGTCATATCACATATCTCACAAATGTCAATTTTTTAAGATATTTACAAATATAGATTTCTTTGATTTAAATAAGTTTTTTTCCCCTCAAATTGCCATCAATAAATATCGTTATATTATATTTTAAAATGTATTCTTGAAAATTTTTTGTCACTTAAAGGTAAATATTTACATTAATGGTTAAATGATAATATTTTAATAAATAATTAAATAAATATAGTAACTAATCAATTCACTTAGAGATGCTTAATTTTTTGATAACTATTGTTTGAATTTTCATACGTATATTATTTTTTCAGGGTTTAGAATCTAAGATTTTATTTTTTTATTAACAATATATGATTATGGGTAACTTGGTAATTTTCCCATGGACCCTATAATTAACGGACCTCTATTACACTCATGTAATTAGGCCTCATTGAAAACTAACTACACTAGGCCCAACTTTTGGTTGATACATATGAAAGAAATACAAGGCCCAGCCCACAAGTTCTGAACTAAGCTCACTTACCTCAATAAATAACAGGTGTCATAAAAGTTACTATTTAAAAATTCATATGTTATGTATCTTTCAATATTTAGTTGCAAGGATTTAATTAAAAAATATTTGATAAGAGATGAAATAAAAATTTTAGGCGCGATATTGCATGAAAGTTAGGCCTAGTCTCAAAGGTGGGTTACGAAAGTATTTCAACGCATTTGAGAGACTTACAAAAGAAATCTAGCTCTGATGTGGAGCTTGATCGCACTACAACGTTCAAGTCGGTAAATTCCAATGTTATCTCAAGACAAGTTATCAATCACGTGTGTACTTAAGTATGAGACTAGTTGTCGTATTTATAGTGACAGTCACAAATTAGGGATGGGTCTACTATGGGGAGTGTCCTCTACTCCGACAAAAATTACAGCACATATTTCACCCTTGTAGGATGATGATTGACAAGGGGGTCGTCACTTCGATATTCGACAGACTTTGACAGTCACTGACATCATGTTGAAATTCGAGGTAGACCTCATCCTTTTCTTTTAGGGTTGGGTCTCACGTCTCTCACCACGTAGAAGATCGTCTTCTCCCATCTCAAACAAAATGATTAAAGACCACTTTAGAACAAGACAAAAATAATTATAATTTATAATCAGAAAGACAAAACCTTAAAAATGGAAAGGGCAATTTTAGAAATTTCTCTCTATATTGCACTCTTAGGCCCATACTTATAAAGCCCATCGATCACAGAATTAAAATAAATAAAATAAAATAAAACTGACAGTTTTTTTTTTTTTTTTTTGAGAAATAAAACTGACAGTTTAGAACACGCCGGATAGGTGGGGGAGAGAGGAAGAGAGGAAAAGGACAAAAAGAAGAGGTGATGACGTCAATTACAACATCATCATTCCTTAAAAAAGGAAAAAGAAAAAAAGAAACTGACAGCGCATCATTCCCCGCGTCTCTCATCTCACGGCAGTATTATTATAATTTTATAATTATAATAATATAATAATAATCATGATGGATGGCGTGGCAGTAGGACACCTATTGGGACCACATCTGGTCCCCTACGCCGCCCCACACTCGAACACTTCTCTGAACCCTGCCGCCTAAATCACCGGCATTTCTTCCCCTCAAAATTACCGCCCCCGCCTTTTTCTCTCTTTTTTTTTTTAAGGTTAAATCATTTTTACCTATTACTACCTATTTTTTTACGTACCATTATTAAATTTTTGAGAAATAAATGTAGAAGAAGATATATATCTTTCTAGAACAGTCAATTTTTTATGCTAACGTATTTTTCTTTCGATTCTACCAAAGGTTAAAAATTGATTGAGGATAAGTTAATAATATACTATGATATTTGGTGAGTATCAAAATTTATGAAAAAAATTAAGTCACGAAAAAAGTAAAAAAAAAAAAAAAGAAAAGTGGGAGTTTTCTAAAACTTTTTAGAATGTTGGGTGAAGAATTAGGAAGTTTCATTATCATTTAATTTTTTTTAACATTTATCAATAAAAATGTTATAATTAAAAAATGTGTTAGAAACTGATGTATCTTAAAATAATAGTAATAATATAAACTAATTTGAAAAAAATATAAGAAAGAAGGGGGACTAAAACATATATTTTGCATTTTTAAAATTATATCTTTTTTTATTATCAAAATTTCCTATTTATTTTATTAATTTTACTAAAACATATGTTCGTCTAATATTACTTATCTCAACTAACATATGCAACTTTACTATAAGCTCGCGTCGTGATATTTTTTATAGTTTAAAGATTAAAAATAAAAAAGAATTATTTTATTTATTAAAAATGGGCATTTAAACAATGCAGAGAGTTGAAAGTTAAAAAAAATCAATATAAGATTTAAATATTTAAAAAGATTCAATATCATTTGGAGTTAAAGTGGTTTTTTTTTTTTTTTACGAAAGACAAAGGAGTTTGAATTAATTCGGATTTTAATGATGTTGACCAAAAAAATTGGACAAAAAAGAGTTCCCTTTTAATTTGAAATAATTGTTTTCTATTTCATAAAAAAGTTGTTGTCCTAATAATTTCTTTTTTTGGTTATCCAATTGGATTCAATGTGTCTTATCAAATTCAAAAATCAATCATCCATTTACAAAAAATAATATAATTCAAATACTATATTTAAAAAATCTAATGAAAAAAAAAATTAATTGAAGAAAGATAAAAGAGATGCAAAAATGGAATCCAACTTTGTCTACATAGTTATTTATTATAATAGTGGAAAGAAAATTGGAAAATAATGATTGGATTGTTTAGAGAGCTATGGGATAATATCTTATCAAGGAAATATCATTGTCACATCTTGCCCCACAACTCCATATAGTTATCATTATTTTCTATTTTCTCTAAATAACCCTACAGATTTTAATATTATTATAAATATTACTTTTATGGCTAACCATGAAGGAAAATACTATGAAAAATTTTTCATCCTATCATAGTATTGGATTTTTTCTCGAGGTTAAACTCATNAAAAAAAAAATTAATTGAAGAAAGATAAAAGAGATGCAAAAATGGAATCCAACTTTGTCTACATAGTTATTTATTATAATAGTGGAAAGAAAATTGGAAAATAATGATTGGATTGTTTAGAGAGCTATGGGATAATATCTTATCAAGGAAATATCATTGT